GATCTTGTTTGTGGTTTATCTATTTTGAATTTTGACAAGGATTCGTTATGTGTTGTATGTGAACAGGGAAAACAACATCGTCAGGGTCATTCGATCATAATTGATTCAAAAATCATATAACCTTTGGAACTTCTTCATATTGACTTGTGTGGACCTTCGATTGTTTTGTCTCTTAATAAGAAGATGTACATACTAGTTATTGTTAATGATTTTTCAAGGCTAACTTGGGTTTTCTTTCTTCGACAGAAGTCTGAAACTACTCAATTGATGATTCATTTTATCAATAACATAGAATTAAGCTTAAAAAGGAAAGTTCGAAAATCAATCAATCTTTAGATTCATTTTTTTACTGAACTGGGCATATCTCATAATTTTTCGTCGCCATACACACCGCAACAAAATGGAGTTATCGAAAGGAGGAATCGTTCCTTGTGTGAAGCGGCGAGAATGATGCTCACTTATGCAAACTTGCCACAATACTTTTGGGTAGAGGCGGTTTGGACTGCTTACTTTACGCAAAATCGTTCTTTCATTCATCCTCTTTTTAACATAACATCTTATGAAATTATAAACAAAAGGAAACTTAATGTTAAATTTTTCCATGTTTTTGGATGCAGATGTTTCATCATGAATCTCAAGGATAATCTTTCCAAATTTCAGTCAAAAGCTGATGAGGGAATTTTCTTGGGATATTCTCAAAATTCTATAGCCTATTGGGTTTTAAACAAGCGAACAAGGAAGTTATAAGAAACTTTCCATCTCACATTTGATGATCATTATGTCAAAAGAGTTGAACGGTCATTCCTTCAAAAACCAATTATTGTTGAATCTGAACAAATGCATACTTTTGATATTGATCTTGATTTAATTTTTGCATTTCCTAATAAGGTAACTGATGAAGAGATCATTGTTGATGATAATCAAATTTCTAAGGCATCGAAACATTCAGATGATTCAACAATTTCATTTGAAGAAAATGTTGCACATTCTTATCAACCTCGAGAGTTCATATTTAAAAAATGCATGTTTCGACTGATGATCAATTGGAGGGGGAGCACGTGATTTTTACATCTCACAATGAAAGACAAGATTCTTATGTTGAGGGGGAGCACTTTCCTAACCATGTTGATTTCGAGGGGGAGCATCACACCATAAATTCATTGGTCGAGGGGGGAGCCAAGTGGATCAAATCCTGATGATGGTAATGATCAAAACAATGTTTTTCATGATGTAACTGATAATATCTCTATTATAGGAGAAGTTTCGGATGCCGAAGACATCTTTGAAGATGCACGTTTAGACTTTGATCCTGCATATCCATGGATGGATAAATGGACAAGAAATCATCTGAAAGAACAGATTCTTGGTGATCCAAACTTTGGTGTCTTGACATGAGCCTATATTTGAGCCAAAAATGAGGTGTTGAATGTTCATAAAGAATTATGTATGTTTAATGTATTTATTTCGAAATTAGAATAAAAAAAAGTAAATACCACATTAGAACATCCAGATTGGGTTGTTGCAATGCAATCGGAACTTGCTGAATTTGAACGAAACAAGGTTTGGAGATTAGTTCCTAAACCTGAAGATTTTTTGATAATTGGTTTGAAATGGATTTTTAAGAAGAAAAATGACAAAGAAGGCAATATTGTTAGAAAAAAAAGTGAGACTAGTCGTGAAAGGTTATTCTCAACAAGAAGGTACTGATTATGAGGAAACCTTTGCCCCTGTCGCAAGACTAGAGGCTATACAAATTTTTCTTTCTTATGCAACTCATAAGGATTTCGACGTCTACCATATGGGTGTGAAATGTGCATTCCTAAATGGTGTTTTGGAAGAAATGGTGTATGTAGAAAAACCACCAGGTTTCGTTAACGATAAGTATCTTGATCACTGTTATATTTTAGACAAGGCAGTCTATGGGTTGAAACAAGCACATCGTGCCTGGTATGAAAACCTGACAATTTTTTTGAAAATCGCTAAATTTAAACAAGGATCTGTTGATCCTACTTTATTTCGAAAGAAAGTAGAGGATCTTCTGATGCTTGTTTAAATTTATGTCGACGACATTATCTTTGGTTCGACTGATCCTTCAATGACTAAAGAATTTGAGGAATTAATGAAAAGTAAATTCGAAATGACTATGATGGGTAAAATCAATAAGTTTTTGGGTTTAAATATTCATCAAAGCAGGGAAGGAATGTTTATCAATCAAGAGAAATATACTCAAAACTTGCTTGAAAGGCTTGGCATGATGAATAGCACGAAAGTGAAAGTACCTATGGCTGTTGGCACGCGGTTAAGTCCTTCGATGGATAAGCCTGATGTGGAACTAACAATGTATAGGAGCATGATCGGCTTGCTTTTGTATTTAACTGTAATTGGACATGATATTATGTTTGTTGTATTTAATTGTGCTAGGTACCAATCGAATCCCGGAGATCTCCATCTTAATGCAGTCAAGTATATCTTTCGATACCTCAAAGGTACAGTTTCGTTAGGATTGTGGCATCCTTCGAAGACATGATTTTTTATCCAAGCATTTTCTGATGCGGACCTGGGTGGATGTTAATTGGATAGAAAGAGCACAACTGGAGGATGTCAATTTTTGGACGGGAAACTTGTAAGTTGGCAATCGAAAAAGCAAACTTGTGTTTCTATTTTGACAGCTGAGGAAGAATACATTGCTGCTGCTGCGTGCACATCACAAGTGATTTGGATCCAAAACCAATTGCGTGATTATGCAATCAACATGAAGAAAATACCTTTATATTGCGATTCCCAAAGTGCAATTCGCATTTGTCACAATCCAGCCCAACATTCAAAAAAGTATATTGCTCTTCGTTATCATTTTATCAAAGACCATGTTGAAGATGGAAAACAATTCAACTTGTTGACATTTTCGCAAAACCTTTAGATGAAAAATCATTCTTAAGGATTTTGAATGGACTGGGAATGATGGAAGCATGCTCTGTTCCACATTCTTCTTGAATTTGACTTGAACATTTGTTTTACCTTACTTTCGATTGCTATTACTTTCGTTTAGTAGGTATAACTTTTGTGTGTTTTATTCACTTTCGACTGTTTGTGTTCTGTTAAGACGTTACTGTTCATGTTAAGCGTTCGACTTCCTTCGCATTCGACTTCCTTCTGAATCGTTCAGTACAGGATTTCAATTCGCATCTGATGGAAGATTTTCAACACACAACTTATTATTGAAGAATGGTAGCTTATGGGTTAAAAGTATCTAGGTAGCGCTTTACATTCTATTAGTTTTGTTTTTTTTTTCGAGAAATCAAAAATCCAAAAAGATTTCTTATTTTTTTTTTTTGTTTTTTTTTTCTAAAAATAAAAAATCCAAAAAGATTTTCTTACTTTTTGTCTTTGCTCTTTCTAAAAATCAAAAATCCAAAAAGATTTTCTTAAATGTTTTTTTTACTTTGATAAATACAAAAATATAAAAATATTGTTGTTGGAATCTCATTGTAACAACATGATGCTCTTTCGCATGCCAAATGAACATATGCATCAAGGGAACATGTATTATTCGAAACTATGTACTAGTTAAGTGTCCCTAGAAGCATGTTGCAACGTGTTGCCCTCAAAGACTCCTTGTGTTCGAAGCCTTAATGAAATCTTTCACACGAAAGTTTCTTCCCATCAGGCTATATTCACATTAGTCGACGGGCTACCTTAATCTTCTCATGATGAGTCAAGAGCTTTCTGCTTGGTCCAAAATTTTAAGCAGAGGTACATTGAGTTCTTTCACCAAATCTTTTTCACCCAAGATTTCTTTCACGATCACACACTACTGTACATATCCTCGACATCTCTGGTCGACACCTACTAGAATCTAGATATGTCACACATATGTGTTTATTATCCTGAGTCATTCTTCTGTGATGATGGTGAAACTCAACAAACCTAAACATTAATGAATTGACGGTGAAAAATTTTGTTCAAGATTTTCACAATTTTTTTTCTTTGTACCATTTCGATATTCAAAATCTCATTCTCATTCGTAATGCTTGATCTTGATAAAATGTTCTAATACCATGACATTTTTGCCCAAAAAGATCTACATTTTTTAACTTTTTTTAGATGAGATTTTCGTTTGAATATCTTCTCTGAACCTTTGCTACTTATAATAATCACCAACCATACTTGTTCTTGACTACACTCGTCATCCAAGTAATTTTGCACAACTGAATCACACTTATGTTAAGCTGTAGCCTTATGTGAAATTGAACCCACCTTCAAAACCAAAAGAAAAAGTGGTCCTTCGATACTCATTAACGAGTATTCGATTGTATTTTACGAGACACTACACAATAAATTATTCATCTCTCTTGATGTCGAATGAATAGATCTTTGCCCGGGACTGCCTTTGTATCAAATGAAATTTGATATCACAATATCCACACTTTGTTTTACTTGCTTCTATGTCATCCCTTGGCACACGAAAGCACTGAAATCCTTGAGGTTTTTGGTATTACCAACTCGAAACTTAGATTTTGCAAAGTCTGGCATATGATTTCGCTTCAAAATACCATAAGAGAATGAGCCCAGCCTCCATGCCGACGGAATTGTCTTTACTTGCTGACGAGACACATGGCGTACTCATTTGGGAATGAAACTTGTGACGGTTCTTATCCAATTGGGAACAGCGAAAGATCCGATGGATGTCACGGTTCAGGATTTTCACAAGAATCAAGGAGCAATGTGATGATCACTTTTATTACGTAGCGATTTTTACGGTGTCGGTTAAGTAACCAACACACTACATAGCATTTTCTTACTGGGTACCAGTTCAAATTCAAAAATAACACATTCTATAAAAGGAAGATGATGATTTCTTTTTCAACTTTCTGCTCTCTGATTAAAACCTCAAGAACCCTAACTATTCATTGCTTCTAAAATTCTTCAAATTCTCTCCAATAGCTGCTTCTCAACGAAATGTTGATCAAACAACAACCAATGACGAATAATTTTCACAACCAATGATGAAGATCCAACACATCCATCTTCGTCTAGTTCCATATCTTGAAACATACCCAGGGGTTTTACAGATGCTTGTTCAAACTCTGAATAGCACTGTATTATCGTTTTTTCTTTCTTCATCATTTGCAATATGCATGGAATGGTTGTCTCTTGCTGCTTCAACTGCGGTGTTCAACAAAACAACCAAGGTGGTTACGTTCCAACTCACGAATTCAAAATCAAAGAAGCTCACTCAGAAATATTTTGCCCAAATTCTGAGACTAACAACTTCATGTACTTTCTATAAAGTTACGAATGATCAAGTTATTCATATGTTCAACGAAATTGGACATCAACCAACCCTCGTTGCAATTAGCCAATTTAAGAAGTCCAGTCTTCCATATGTTTGGAGTTTCTTGTTTGGGATCATTCTAAGGTGTTTGATAGGAAGAAGCTCCGGGGTTAACAAGGCTAAGCTTGAAATATACTCTGTCATGGCGAGATGATACTATGGTTTAAATGTTGATTATACTTCACTTCTATGGGAAGAATTTGGAATTTTAATCTTTCAAACAACGCTCGAAACTGGTGTGTCCAGTGCTCGATTTGAATATTATGGTTCCATTAGGTGTTGATACTGTATAATTTCCGATGATAGTTGCTCCAAGGGTTTCTTTGGATGATGCTACTGTCTTTCACAATGTTGCTCGAATTCCGGATTCGATACTCAAACTGGTGGATCCTAAAAATCAACTGTTGGTGCAATATTTGGCTTCTATTGATTCTTCTAATCCAACTGGGTTATTCCACAAAAGGTTTCTCAAAAAGAGGTAGAAGGAATATCAAAAGGCTTTGAGGCTCCAAAGAAGATGAAACAAGTACAACAACCACAAGTAATAGTGGAGGAGATTGTCAAAGAAACCATACCTACGAAAACTGGGGTTCTTAAATGAACTAAGAAACCAGCTAAGAAACCTCATGATTCTCCAATCAATACATCCACTCAAGATCCAATTGTTGAAAGTGTTGAGCCTACTTTTGTCGAACCCGCACATCATGTGTCTTCTACGGGTGATCCAAAGAAGGTTAGAAAGTTACAATTTACCAGGAGGGGATTTCTTGTTCGTGAAGTTTCGTGTCCTGGATCTCTAGCCTCAAAGGAGTGTCTAGCTTTAGATATAGCTCAACAATTAAAGAAGAGAAAACATGATCAAGTTAGTTTTCCAGATGAGAATGTGACTGTTGAAAACGAGAATGATAGTTAGCGACAGCTCATACATTCGAATCGAGGATTCTTATATTGGTTCACCACGAAGGGATACCCCTGTCAAGTCGGCTTTCGAGGAGACAAGGATTCCTGGTGTCACTGTAAACGTATCTGATACGGATCCAAACACAATTCGGGTGATCAACAACAAACGCCATCCACGAGATGACATTAGTCAAACCATATGGGGTTTCGAATACCGAGTCCAGTCAGGAGGAGGTCGGAACTCCGGACATCACTGTGAACTTATCTAATAAGGACAAAAATGTCAACATGGATGAAGAGATGATCCATAACGAATCTACTGTCACAACTTCCATTACAACTTCAACGGTTCTACCACCAACAACATCACCCATTCCAACTTTTGTTTCTTGTTTCGACTATCTTACCAACATTTTTTGGTGTCATGCAAGAACATATCACCACTCTCTTCTCCTCTCAATCAATTGAGAAGTCACTTCAAGGATACGAAGTTGATGATGAAGATATCATGTCAGATAAGCAATTCAAGATACTCAACATAAAGATCAATTCTCTTATTCAAATTAAAGAATATACTAGAGGAAAGAATTATGTGACTGGAGTCGAAATGGATTACTTGATGAAAGCTCAAGAATTACATTTGGGAAATTTGGTTGAGGGTATTGAGCAGAAACAAGTAGAACGATTATCTTTTTATTCAAAGAGCTATGATTATGAAATTCAAAAGCTTCGTGATGTTGCAAAGGCACGTCATGAACTTTTCATGGAAAATGTAAATGAAATGAAGGAATCTCTTGCTCTCAAGGTTGATGAGATAAAATCCTTGATGTCAGAAGAAGTCAAGAAGATGGAAGAAAATTACAAGTTGTTGCATGGCAAAGTAGATGTTATTGCTGGTGCCATAACACATTTGGTTTTGTTGAACAACGAGTACACTAAACAGTTTCAAGATAAATCTGAGAAGGACGAAAAGGTGTTTGGAGAAAATGGAGGAATTCCTATTTGGAATTAAAGAAACTTTGTCAGAGGTGGATCTTTCGAATCAATCAACCATCTCTCAAGAATCACTCTCACAGATGGTTTCGAATATTGAGTCAAACATAAAAACTGAGCTTGCTCCAATCCTTAATTTGGTACTTTGTTTACCAACCAATGCTCCTTGTGCTGTGCAAGTCTTACAAGGGGGAAATAGAGCAGTTGGAAGAGCTGGATCCTCAAACGTTTTTTGTGGTGATACAGGAATAGTGGTTGGGAAGGCTATTTCGACTAAGATTCCAACTACAATTCCCATGAAGCAAATAACTGTATGTTCGACAACCATGACTACAACAACAAATGTGACGAAAGCTCCATTAAAAGGGATTTAGATTAGGGAAAGTGACGTAGTTTCTATTAATTCTCCTATCAAAACAACTTCAACAATTGATTTGAAAGACAAAGGAAAGGTCATTCTAATTGAAAAATCGGAAGAGGAAAAGAAGAAGTGACAAACAGTAGAGTTAGAACGACAATGGCAGATAAATAGCACTCTTTAACAAAGAGAGAATGACCCACCAGGGTTGAACAAAGGTGATCCAAACAAGCACTGGTGTTATGAAACAATTGCATTTATTATTTTGGGGAAGAATGATGAATATCTAAAAAGACCGAAGAAGAGCTTTGAGACTGAAAATTCATATTTCAATCAACTCATTTTTTCAATCAATCACATGCTCTTCAGATCTCCATAGTTTAAATTGGCAGATAACTTCAAAGACAAGAATGAATACAAAAGGCTGAAGATTCTCTTTCACCTAATCTTAGGAAATAATGAAGATGATGTAAGGTCTTTGGTGAAGATTGTGAAGGTGATGAATCGAAAGAGATACCTTGTTCGAGTGCTTACTTCAGAACTTTCGATATTCTGTTGTAAGAGCAAACAATGTGGAGTTTAAGTTCACGGTTGTTGATTTCCCCTTGATGAATTTAAATGATCTTATCTCAATCACAAATATAATGATCAATATAGATGTGTCAAATATTTCGGAGAAGAATCGAAATGAATTCGTTCTCGGATTTGGTCATATTAAGTCTTTTCTGGATAGCTACTATGAATATTTGGCTATTACAAATATTGATCTTGCCATAGCTGCCAAGAAGACTGTGAAAGTACCTCAAACATTGGCTAAAGAAAAACTAAACATCAACGAGTTTGAAGACGGATAAATCATTCATCAACCTTATGGTGTTGTGTTCCAGGGAAAGAACAAGAGAGGAATTTGACAAATTTTTGTTTCAAGTCTCTGATGGGTTTTGAGCATCCTAACAACCTTAAGGTGCACATACAACCCTAAATGCTTTGGATCTATGTTTTCTCTAATTATACATGCAATTTGATTTTCCAAATCATTATCCTAACTAGCATACAAAACATGGGTACTTGTATAACAAAAAACTAGTTAGATAACATACCTTTTCTTATGGCTTGATTCCTTGGACCTTTAAGAGCCTAGCAACCCAAATGTGATGCCTCAAATGCTTCACACAACACCACCAACAATGGAGGACTTGAGAGAGAATATATTTCACACAAAAGTCGGCTACGCTCTTCCAAAGATCACTAGGGTGCCAATTTTAGTAGCCTAGGGTCTTCTTATATAGTGTGGCAAAATTAGGGTTACACCATGTAAACCCTAATGTGCATGACCTTCCATATTCCTTATGATCCATGGGTTTAAACCTCCATGAAGCATCCATGGGTTGTCACATTGGTTTAGCCCAACCTAAAGAATTATGGATCATTGGCCCACATTATAAGAATCAATGATTTACACAATCAATCCCCATATATTTATTTAGTCTCTTTTGATCACTATATTAATTCCAAATTAAATCTTGATCAATACTAATTAAATAATATGATTTCATATTAAAATATTAGAACTTATAATATATTAATAAATCATAAATAACCTCTTCTCAAATGTCCATCCTTCAAATTGTTCCGGTGCCATGCATCCCAAATGGACCATGCTACTCTCGGGTCAAGTACATACCAAATATAGTTATGGACTTAGACACCTTATCCAAGAATCTCCCACTTGGATAAGTCTAATAACTATAGTTGCAAGTATGACCTCAAACACAGACTAGCAATCGTAGCTCTTAAAAGCCTCTGTCAAAGCGTGAGGCACCATTTTAGATAAGTGATCATATAATCCTTTGTTCTCAAGATATCAGCCAGACAAATAAATGGAACAATGTCATACTTATTGTTCAGCAGTTTATTTCCCGATTTTCGATTTGTTTGACATAGAACTTAATCGAACACATCAATTTAGTTCTGACCGGGCCCGACACATTAGTCAAAACAAAATCATCGAGGGGCCCAAGATATCGCTTTTAATCCTCCAATGACAAAAAGGAACAGATAAACTTCGATAGTATATGATTGTAGTAACTACTTGTTAAATTATACACAACAGTGCATTTTATTTCATATTAATATATTAGAAGACTTATGTGATGTTACCGTCTCACGATCAATCGAGATAAATTCCATGAAGTGATACAAGTGAGTGTTGGTTTAATCCAATACTCAGACCTTATGAGCACTCATGAATGTTGTAGCAAACGTTGCTATGTCTAATACACTTCAGACAATCTACAAGCCAAATTCATGACAGTCTTGCCTCAATACCAACTTCCGAAGTATGATCGACTGTGGACAGTTTGAATAATATAATTATTCTGGAAGTCAAAACATGCAAAATGAAACAATAGTAAATGATTGACACAAGATAGTAACATTACTAATAAATAAATAACACCTTTTATTTAATCATCAAATGTCAATTACATTTCAACTATTACAAGTTTCAAAACTATTTAATTATTAAAACTAATATCGTCCTTCAGCCCGATGCGCCTCACATGTTGTAAGTGCTTAATCCTACTCAGTCCATTCGTGAGGGGATCTGTTGGGTTCTCCTCTGACGATATCCTCTTTGCTACGAGGAGTCCTTCTTCTATTCGATGTCTTATGAAGTGATATTTTCAGTCAATGTGTCTGGATCTGCCATGATCCCTTGGTTCCTTGGCTTAGGCAACCGCAGTCTCGCTGTCACAAAAAATCTATATAGGCTCCTGTATAGCTGGTACTACTCCATGGTCTCCAATGAAGTTCTTCAGCCATATTGCCTCCTTCGCCGCCTCTCTTGCTGCTATGTACTCTGATTTTCACGTTGAATCAGCTACTGTCTCATGCTTGGAACT